TGATCTTCTTGTTGTATATATAGCCTCATGTTCCCTCTGAACGTACATATAACTTAACACAATTTATACCTCTGAACTACAACAGGTTATGAGCCCGGCAGCAACTCTCGGATGCCGTCTCTACTCATCTGAGAATCATCTTGATTACTATATATCTACCCCGCTTTCACAACCATCACTATGTCTGCTCTGGTTCACGACTCGCCCGATCGAGCCGTCACGGCCATCGAGCCTCTAACAGGAAGCGACAACTTTGCGACCTGGAAACGTCTCATGACCTCCTACCTCAAAGCGAGGCAGGTCTGGGATGTCGTGTCGGGCGACCTTGAGCGTCCTGTCTGCTCATTCAAGTACGCCAAACCGATTACGGCGGACATCCACTCGTTAGTGGAACCGCACCTCAACGGGGCGGTGAGGCAACGCGCGATTGAGGCGCGCCTCGAAGTGGAGGTCCAGGCATTCGAGCGCCATCGTGAATGGTCGCGCCGCGAGGCCGAAGCCTACCACACCATCTTCCGGTATCTGTCCCCCCATATCAGTATCCATGTCGCGGGGCTGGAGACATCCCGCGACCTCTGGAATGATCTCGAAGAACGCTACCGGCGGATGGAACTCGCCACGTTCTGCGAGCTGTTCGCCCAGCTGCGCGAGACCACCGGCGAGCGCTGCGGCAGTGCACGTGAATTCGTCGATCGTGTACGGATGCTAGTCCATCGATTGAATGCGATCGCCCCTGGATCCATCGGCGACAAAGCGCACATTGCAATCCTACTGACGCAGATCGGACCGGAATACATCCTGATTGTGGATGCGATCCAAAATGACAAGGATCCTGTCAACCCGGCAAATATTGGCAACCGTCTAGCAAATGCTGAGCAGACGGTGCAGCGAAAGGACGCCGCAACGTTCCCGCAAAGAGTGTCTGGTGGAACGAGTAACCCTTCGATCAATACGGTGCAGAAGAACACCAAGAAATGCAATTACTGCAGAAAGCGCGGCCATGTAGTCGCGGACTGCTGGAAGAAACAGCGTGAACTACAGCAACCGCCCAGGGACCATGCCCTGAAGGCTGAACGGAGTGCTTCCGGCTCACCAAGAAACAATTTACAAAATATACCATCAAGCCAGATGGGAGATCGGCAGGGCCCGCCGACTTCCAAGAGACCGCGGATCAATATCGTGAGGGCGAGGGTGACGACTCTCTATACCCACGCACCGTCACTCCGGTGGATCCTGGACTCGGCCGCCACTAGCCACATCTGCTGGGACCGGAGCTGCTTCAGCAGTCTTCGGCCTCATCGCGAGATGTTGGACACGGCGGGCGATCCAGTGGAAGCCGAAGGGATTGGTACGGTGAAACTCACGCTCCGGGGGAAGTTCAACCAACCCCTGGTGTTAAAGAATGTGTACTTCGCGCCACGCGTTGGGATGAACCTGATCAGCGTGCCGAAGCTGTTACGAGACCGCTATTCGGTGGTGGCGCACCCGCAGAACGTCTTTGTGCAACGCCGAGGACGGACGGTGGGGACCGCCTACCATGCGGAGGAGGATCTACTGATCCTGCGGTGCCAAGTGAGCAAGAGATTCCGAGAGCGAGTCCAACTGGCGAGGGCGCCGGCGACCGATGACCATGCAGATTCCCTGGAACCGCAGGCGGTGGCCATGGACGTCGACGACCCTCAGGAGTCAAGTGACGTAGAATGTACAGCGTCAACCTCTGAACTCGGTGGTGAAGCTGTGATACTCGAAGCAGATGCGAGCACAGGAGTGGACCAGGCCTCCGAAGCGTTGTGGCACGCTCGGATGGGACATCTGAACCGGGGCGACTTGAGGATGGTCCTCCGGCAGACCGGCACTCCGTACCGACCGCTGACGCCAGCGCAGCTGCTGGCAACGCCGCAGTGCGCGGCGTGTATGTCGGGTAAGCAGCATCAGAAGAGAAACTCCCGTGCACGACGGCCACGTCTGCACTCAACGAGAATTTTCGAATTGATCCATTCGGACATCATGGAGATGCCGATGGCCAAAGATGGCTCTAGGTACGTGATCACCTTTACTGACGATTATTCTCGTGGCTCGTGGGCCTATGCCATGAGATGGAAGCATGAAGCGCTCCAGAAGTTCCGACAATTTGAGGCCTGGGTGCACCGACAGTTCGGCGCCCAGATCAAGAGGTTCCTCACCGACAATGGAAGAGAATACCTGCCGATCGGAACACACCTCGAAAGCCAGGGAGTTGAGTTCGACACCTCGCCGCCATACTGCAAAGGGCAGAATGGACTGGCGGAACGCACCAACCGCACTATCCGGGAGCGGATCAACACGCTCCTGTCCGATGCGAACCTTCCTCCTTCCTGGTGGATCGAGCTTGTAGACACCGTGGTCTACTTGAAACTGCGTGCTCCAGCTTCGATCTTACAGAAAAAGACGCCCTTTGAAATTCTTTATGGGAAGCTACCCTCGCTCTTGCATCTGCGACGGATCGGCTCCCGCGCATGGGTCTTCATCCCAAAAGAGCATCGTGCAAAACTTGGACCGAGGTCATCCGAGTGCCGACTGCTAGGCTACTGCGAGCCGAACCAGTACAAGCTCTATGAAATTCATTCTGGAAAGACTGTATTTTCCCGTGATGTCGAGTTCGATGAGAGGACCCCAGTGGCGCCACTCATCGAGGGGGAAATAGGCAACGACCTCCCGGACAACGCTCCTCCATCACCGGTCTTTCCATCAATGCCAAATTCAGCCAGCGGGCTACCAACACCACCTGTATCGCCATTACCTCCGTCGAGTGAGCGAGAGAAAACGCCATCTGAGCGTGAAGAAGAGACACCTCCAGTGGTTAATCCAAGCCAACAAGGAACCGACCTGACATCGGATCTTGGGTATTCAATCTATGGTCGCAGACGAAGACCGTCACGGCGTCTCCTGGAATCACTAGGTAAGGTATACTCTGCAGGTGCCTTGAATACCACAACGGCCCAATCGGTCGACCCGGCGACCTTTGGCGAAGCTGTGTCTGGCCCAAACCAGCTCGAATGGTGGGCTGCTATCCAGAAAGAATATGCGTCGCTTCTCGAACACGGAACATGGGAAAATATCCGGCGAGAGGACGTACCGGCCAAAGATCATGTGATTGGCTGCAGATGGGTCTTCAAAACCAAGGCCAACGGAACACGCAAAGCGCGATTGGTCATTAAAGGCTACCGGCAGAAACATGGCATCGACTATCACGAAACGTTTGCTGCGGTGTCGCGTATGGACTCCGTTCGCTGCATTGTTGCCAGTGCCGTGCTGCGCGGATGGAAACTCCACCAATTCGATGCGGTCACCGCATTCCTTCATGGAGACATCGATTCGTCTATCTATATGGAACTTCCCGAAGGCTTCGAAGAGCCAGGATATGTGTGTCGGCTGCGCCGCTCGCTATACGGCCTGAAGCAAGCCCCGCGGATTTGGTACCAATGCGTCCACCGCGTCCTGGCTTCTCATGGCTTCACCATGGCCCAATCGGACAACTGCGTATTCCATAAACCGGATTGTGTTGTTTGTGTTTATGTCGATGACTTCCTTGTTACTGCGTCAGACCCGCACGAAATAAAACAAGTGCAACAAGCATTGCAAACAGAGTTCCAATTGAACGACCTGGGCACCCCGCGATCGTTCCTCGGAATCCAGTTCGACTATCACGTTGACGGTTCCGTGTCTATTCACCAACACCAGTATATCCAGAAGGTGCTCTCCGACTTTGGCATGAAGACTTGTCAGCCGAAGTCTACGCCGATGAATCCCAAGCAAATCCTGAATCATCGTCCAGAGGTGGAACCTCCAGACGAGGAAGCAAAAGCTCGGTATGTAACCGCCATCGGTTCGTTAATGTATCTGATGATTGGCACGCGACCGGATATTGCATTTGCGCTGGGCATGTTGAGTCGCTTCACGTCCCAACCGCAATCGCATCACCAAGTCGCTCTGCAGCGATTGCTTCGCTACATCAAAGCCACGCAATCGCATCGCATTACCTACCGCAGTGGGCAGCTAATCGGGTACACGGACGCCGACTTCGGGGGCTCCGTCGTCACTGACGGTGCATACTCCACGTCTGGCTATGTGTTCCAACTTGCAGGCGCACCGGTTTCCTGGTCGTCCAAGAGACAGGGGAAGTGGCCACGTCTACGACACATGCCGAATACATAGGACAGTACAATGCTATTCTGCATCTGCAGTGGCTCCGCACCTTTCTGGCTGAAACGCAACTGTATCGGTCTCCGGTGACTAACATCATGGCTGACAACCAGTCCGCCATTGCTCTCTCTCGAAACCCCGAGTTCCATAAGAGAACGAAGCACTTCAATGTGAAATTTCACTATCAGCGAGCCGTGCTGGATACAGGCGAGATTGAGCTTCAATATATTCCAACTGGGGAACAGGCTGCGGATGGTCTCACCAAGCCATTGGGACCTACGGCCTTTGCCAAGTTTTGTAGTCTCCTGGGAGTCGATGCTCCAGAGATTTCGAGACAAAACGCGTGACAGCGCTGGCGCTCTTTCCACTTTATTTTCCCACGAAGGTTTTTGAGTGGTTTTACCGAGGCCTGACTGCTCTGCGCAATTCCAGAATCGCCCTGCCAGCAAAGCGATCCTGAAGGGGAATGTTGTGATATGAGGCTGGTGCAGATCAGGAACCAAGCCGAACCATCGGAATTAATCCCGAAGTATGTATACGAAGAACTAAGTTGATTGGAAATCAACTTGATCTTCTTGTTGTATATATAGCCTCATGTTCCCTCTGAACGTACATATAACTTAACACAATTTATACCTCTGAACTACAACAGTGTCAGCTGTGCTCTACTTGGTTCAAGACCCGATCCATTTCAAACGTGTCCCATCCACCTCACATCCCAGCACCAAAAGCTTTTGCATCACTGTTTGTATTAGAGGTTGATGAGTTGAAGATAGAAACGGACTCACTGATTCTTAGGGATATGCACTCACGCCGCTATGATGTTCGACGAACTGGATGCCACTTCGTTCAATCCGATGAGGGAAGTTTGGTTTCCCCTGGACCTCTCAAACGCTTCATCCTTCAATTGCATCATGGCTCATTCTGCCGCCCACCTAGCTCACCTTTATGCCGGGTCTCCTCCCTATCGCGGTACAAATTCATCTGATGCTTTGAAGTACAAAACTGAGGCAGTAAGAATACTGCACTCTTGGATGATTGATCCTAAGAAAGAGTTAAACGATGACGCTTTTGCTGCAGTCGTTCGCCTTCTTACATTTGAGGTACACCTCTCAGTGAAGGTCACTCACTTACTCTGTCAGACAGTTCTAACCATAATACAATTAGAGATATTGGGGCAATGATACTGAATGGGAAATTCATCGCAAAGGCCTACAAAAAATGATTATAGCCAAAGGAGGGGTTCATGAACTACATGGAAATTGGCGGTTGGAGCTTGTCGTCTATCTGTGGGTGATATTCCCATTTTTCGCTTCGTCTGTCCGAATGACAGATTTAACATTCTACTAGCGTTTCTTTGATGTCAAGGCCTTCCTGGCTTGAGCCTACAAATAAACTCGAGGAAATATCTAGTCCTCTTTCCAGATTTCCCCTCGCCCAGGGGGCACTACCATCCCTCGATATTCAAAAAGTTCGTTGTCTTTGGCTGATATCTTTTATCCAGGACATGCGAACCTTCATGGGATATTACCATGGAGCCAGATTGACCCCCTTCCACTCGATTCATACTGCAATCAAATTTCTCCATGATAAATATCAGCTCTTGGTTGAATACTCGCATCTTGGTCCTAATATATCCGGTCTCGAGTACGAGATCCTGACGTGTCTATTCACGCTCAGTATTATTCTTCAGGAGGCGATATCCCTTTCATGCATGGACTCCCCTTACATGGGCGGCGCACCAAAAGTGCTCGCTGTGTTGGAGACGACATTAAAAGAGTCTCAAAATGCATGGTTTCTTTCCCCTCACACACTGCAATCAATTTTATACCAGACTTTGACCGGGCTCTTTGGCAATGGGGATACCAAGATCACTTACATCGTGGAAATGGTGAAAGTTTTGGAAACATTCAGCTTGGAGGCACGCCAGGGGGTGGAAAAGTGCCTTTTGAATTTGTTATACTCTTCAGGGAAACAGGAGGGTAATATTCGGATTGATGATGGATGGACACCTGACTCGCTGCTGTCCTCTATGCATGGGCATTAGGGATCGCAATTTCTAGAACACATTCATGCAGTGCAGAATTTCAAATTCGATTCTTGACCCATTTCTCGTTTTTTTAACCAGGAACAAGATGATTCGTTCTCCTCTATCCTACCAGGGCGTGTCTTTGGTAGGGCTGACATCGTCTTACGTTGGCCGATCAGAACATACATTTAGGTTTTCAATACTAGCCTTACTATGACTCCCACAGGCTCAGAGTAATCGCTAAATCGATCCACGAGGGATATCACAGATGATAGCACTGCTTCAAACCGCCATTTATTCATGCCTTCACGTCTTGGCCTCGGGATACTTTGGAAAACTTTACTTTTCTCGGTGCTTTTTGGCACCCTCCATACTAATTTTGTGACGATGCAGACATTCCGTCTGTCGCTGTAAGGAGGTACTTTCTTTTACTTCCAACATGGCTGCTCAATATCAATGACCCTTTGCTCAGAGCAAGTCCTTGAAGGTCTGCAGTTTCAGTGAAATTGTGAGAATATAGTCTAAAAATGGGCAGGATTCGAACTTCACGGCATGACCTGATCGATAAGCACCCATTTCTATTCGTATCTTGATGTACAGGGCCTATAATTAACATTGTTTCATCCTCGGGTCCAGGTAGCCGAGGCAAGATATCTTCTTGTTTTTGGGCCCGGTGGCACATTAACGCTTTCTCTGCCTTCTCAGGGATAGCTTTAGTGAGGTTGCCCCACTTTAGTCTACACCGTTGCTATTGAAGGCTACATTCCCCTAAAACTGCCTCACCAGGAGCAGTTGCTTGCCACTATAGCTAGTTTGTCATTCAACACGCAGCCAAGGTTCGAATTTGCGTTTCACATCCTTCCTCTACGGCAAGAGCACAAATTAGCCTCGACAATATGATGCGCCCCCTTTCCATTCCGTTCAATCAGTTCAGCAGTGCTAGGCTAGCCCGCTCGACTCTGCTTAGCCCCAAACCCACGTTAGCGAAGCCATGGTTCCGACAGACAGCGCCAGCTGGCCAATACAGGTACAAAGGGTCAAAGCTAGGCGCCTTTGAGTTCACGTAACGAAGTCCGCCCACAAACGGAGACCTCGTGCCGACCTTCAAGATGAAAATAATCTCGATCATAACCGTGATCCACCCCCATTTTGAGGTTAGCCCGTTCGTCGATATTTACCCGGCTATCTTTGCTTTGCTTACCCGTGTTCTCTAAAGGACCCCTCTCTCAACAGTTGCAGCCGCATTTCGAACTCGACTTTGTTTGCATGTTTGGTAGCGCACTGAGTGGCATTCCAAGACTCTCAAGAAGGGCGACCAGTTTACTGTGGCTATTGACCTGGTTCGTTCGATTTCTGAGCCTGGTAATATAATCCTGAACAATGCGGCCCCTCTTGCAGAACCTAAATTTAACCCGAACCCTTTTGCCTACGACCTCGATGTCATGGCTATGTGCGAAAGAATCAGGCTTAGCTACGATTTTATCACCCAAGGTGAGGGATTCAAGGATATTGCAATGGATGAGTACCCATGGAAAATATCTTTTGCATTCGGATAAGGAAATGAAGAGGGCTTTATTGGGTCGCTGCCAGACCACCTTCCACTCTCATGGCACTGGGTGTTTGTCAAAGAATATCAATCAATGCGTCGTGTATCCGAAGATGAAACCCCACAGCATCCAAATTTGTGTGCCGCATGCCTCGGTGATGCCTGTTATCCCCGACTGTGGTATCCAAAACTCGGTTTGTATGGTGGGTGAAAATGGTGCTAATATGATCAAGCTTGATCATAGGGATCTCTTCAAGTGGTGATCCTCATTGTCTCCTCGCTTTCAGTTGCTCGTAGACAAGCATTAAGAAGCCAGATATATTATATGCTGAGTGTTCATGTCCCAATATTCATGTTTGTCGCTGGTCAAATCTACAGTAATGGATGCTCCTTTTCTGTTTCTATTGGATTATCATCCAGGATCAGTCCTTGCCATTCTTCTTCAAGACGAGTATGCCAACGTCTGACGTATCATATTAGGATAGATCCATCATTCCGAAGTAACAGAGGTTGTTTCCAAGTCCCGCATGTTAGATTCAAATATCTTCTTGTGTCTTTTAACGTCGAATTGTAAGCCGCTGCACATCATCACTATATTATTCTGTCTTTACGGGCTTGTTTGCTTGAAATAGTTCCCATATACCCGAGCCTGAAAAGCTTAGTGAGAGTTTCCCTAAAGTAATGCAAATGTATACGAATAAGCTAAGCTACGATTTTATTCGAATAGATTGCAAAATTATAAGCGTCAGTGAGTTTTCAGGAAAAGAAATACAAATCAATTAGGTTAACTTTCTGGCGAAACGACAATTTGCACGAAATGCCTCTCAGACGCGAAGACACACCCAGCACTCCCATCTTACTAAGAGGCGGCAGCTGATGTATCCAGCTGATGTATCCAGCTGATTTATCCTACTTGAATAGTCTTAAGCTATTCTGATAAGCCACCTAGATATAGGATATAGGTTTCCTGATGGCCATCGCAGGGAATATTATGTCTCAGACCTGATTTGCCCCTGTGGCCTCCGGGGTTGCGTCTTGGTCAAGAACCGGATTGACGGCAGTCATTCCACCGTTGGCCCCCTCGGCGGTTAAGTTGCTCTTTTCATGCGACCTTGAAGAGCTGCGATGCTTCTTTTCGGCGAGCCAGAGCGACAAGGCTTCAAGGAAGAGTGTAAAGAATGTGAAGATGCTACAGTCATGTGAGATGATGATAAAGATAATAGTGGGTAATTGCAGGCCACTGAGTCATACAATACCAAAAATATGACAGCTTCATTAGCCCATTTCTTCGAACATGCGACACCTGGGGGTGCATTTGCGTGGCAAATTTTCTGGTTGTAGTCCACCGCGGAAAATATGAATGCAGCGAGCCAACTGGGGAAAGTCAGTAACTGATTCCAGAATCTTCATGTTTTGGAAAGTCTCACAGATATGAAAATATCACATCAATGAAAAGAACGAAGTCTTTAATTGGTGTGGTCAAGAAAGGTGATACAAAGGCAGGCAAGAATAAAACCACGGAAACAACAGCCTTTTTCATCAGCATTGAATAATGTTTCTCTTCCTAAGTTCTACTCACTATGATTTCCACATAAACAATGGTCAATCCACGAGGACCAACATTGATGAATGAGGACGTAATTCCAAGGACTATCACGCTGCTCAGCCGCTGAATGACTCTGTTGCAAAGGAGAAAAAAAAAGTCGTTTGACCCTCGGTCAGGTAGGGGATTTTGGGAATAATGGTATTTGATTGGTATGTGGTATGAAGTCCCGGGCAGATGTAGTAAAGTGTGCACTCTTTTGAGGGATACAAATGCTATTTGAAAGTATCATCAGTCTTATATAGTTTCTGAAAAGGCTAAGGTTCAGCATCTAGAGCTCATCCAAACTTTCTAAGGTGAACTACTTCATGATGTCAAGACTGCCTGGTTCTTGTTTGGCTTGATTTATAGGGGCTGAATCTCATCTGCGTTTGCTACACTGTACATTGATCAGAATTGGCAACACTACTGTTGACCAGCCCACGGAAACACACCTGGGAAAGAGTGCACCAGCGGTTGGTCCAAAGCTCTACCATATTGTCTTAACCAGTGGGCCTTGGTGAAGCAAGCCACGTTCCAAGCTTCCTCCCTTCATAATGGGGAGCCGCAAAGATCGGGGAGATTTCACTCAAAAGTCGCGAACCCAGTATTGCCAATTGAAGTTCAAACTGGTGTCAAAGAAATCGTCTTCAACTTTAGCGACACTGTCATCGTGAAATATTCGAGGCTCTGCGATTTTTTTCCGTTTCAAAATCGGGCTTGTCAATCAGCACAAGAAATTCAGCTGTCTTTCATCGATATATTCCGATCCGATGCGAGGTGGTGCAATTGCTGACTAACTTCCCGGAACCTTAAGGTGGAATAGTTAACTAGTTGAAGGGAAGGACTTTGTGTTGGAGCACCTGTATTTATGGTATTGTCCTGTCACCCTGATACGCACTACTCATGCATTAGAGTTAGTGTCAGTATGGGGAATCGATGTACTGGCTAGTACTGAACATGTCCAATAGAATCAGATGATTGATTGAAGGTGTTGAGATCGGTTGAATGATCTCAGGGGTCTCTATCCTCGAACTATGGCGTGTTATGACACCATACTAGACGGAAATTAGGTGAACGATGAATAAGTCTGTCTCGAAGGGTCCTAGTGGTATTTGATCACTTCTTCAGTTTGTCAGTTAGACCTGTATCTATCATACTGGGTCGTGACCCACACAGTCTTCAGATAATACAACTACTTTACACATGCTACAACACTTTGGTACGTGGAAGGCCGACCGTGTCCAGCTGTGCCAAGAAAGTTGGGAAGCACGGAAACCTTGTCGAGAACCACAACCACAACTCAACTACAAGTGGATATCGCGTCATAGTTTTTCCCGGGGTTTTGAATAGTGGGTTCACGTGTTGGTTCGAGTGTAGATGACGAGAAAACCTTCCACATATCGGCGAGAAGTAGTCGTGCTGTGGTTTTTCTAGCAATCCGGCTTCCCTAGAAATTACAGGCCATTTCTTAATCTTGTCTTGCATTGTAGAAAACTTCATTGCAATATTTACATGAAATGGAATTTTGTCCCAATCCACATCCAAAAGTTGTGCAAATATTTGACTGAATGATGATAGTGTCTCTGGTTGCGATCCGTATTCCCGACGCTGGACAATTGTGATTTATGCAGATAATGGAATGTATGACGACAAATCGGACAGCTGGCGTCCTTTGAAGCCATCCACTCGTCAATGCAAGGCTTGTGAAATATATGGCTGCACGGAATGTGACGAAATGTAGATTCGGACTTCATATTTTCAAAGCAAAGATCACAAACACTGGGTGACGAACCGACTGAGAATATCTTAACATGGAGCAAATTGTTGGAAGCATCAGCGCTGACATACAGATGGCTGTTTCCTCGGACTTGGTATAACATGGCATAGCTGCTGCCTCGATATCTTTGAGACTGAGCGGAACCTGCCCGTCTACCGAAGATCTGTGAGTAAATGATGGTTCGTTTTCTCTCTGCATCATCTACTAATGCAAAAGGTACCGGAGGTGCTATACAGTAAAATGTTGAAGCTTGGATCAAAGCGTAGAGGCGTATCCTATCATTTTCTATAATTTCACCATATATTCTGCTTTCGAGGATTAATAAGCGGCCAAAACCCTAACTTAAATAGACTTTCATTGTAAAAGTTTGCGTAAAGCTTTGGTTGGAGCTGATAGGTGAATAGTGTTACTCAAAGAAGGTGGCCGTTGGGCTTCGCCTTTTGATATTATCGATTGGGAAAGTTAGACTGCACCGACTCACCCCAAAGCCGTTCGAACTTCAAATCCTTATTCATTTGGAGAGTTTCGAAAGCACCCACCCGTTTGATTTTCAATTCGAGTATATTTACCCATTCCCACGCTGAAGAACTGATCGATAATCATATAGACTTCTGATCGAGTGACAGCCTTTGCGGTCGCGGTAAGGCCGATCGCGAAGCCTATTCAGCTCTAATTTGGTCGTTCTTCGAAGTAGGCTACGGTTCGTTGATGCGCTGCTGTTTTGGAAAATGGTTTTTTGAAAGAAAAATAAAATCAATCTAGGGTACAGTAGATGGTTAGCAGACTGTGATGGGCTGCAGATCGTATCTCGGTGTTTGAAAGTGCGGTGCTGAGTCTACGCTCAACGTTGAACCTTGAAGTAATCATCCTGTGAAAATATGAGAACATTCAAGGTCTAAGCGTTTCTGTTTACTTAGTAGTTCTAACAGAGGCCCAATAGATCTGCACAAATTACGTCCGCTGATCAACGTTTCCTTCAACGGCAGTGTTTCAAAAGACTTGAAGCGCCATCTTAGCATGGAGGAGGAATTCAGTCGATCTTTAACATGCTGTACATAGATGAAATATAACATACATACTCCTGATATATGATAGAATTGTATAAAAAACGGCCCAGAAGGCCGCGGAAGCTGACGGCCACAGTTGTATCATAGACATCGAGATCATCATTCATTCTAAACAACGTGGACTATTTTATGACTGTATTCCTTATTTAGGGTGGAATTACGGCACACTCAGACTTCGATACTCCACAAGAAGTTTTCATCTGCCCATCCCCGGCAGCGTACTCTGACCTCTAATCAAATATGCATTTTCTGTCTAATTGATGAACAAATGCCTGATTAGAAGCGGTCTTTAGGGAGAAAATTGAATAAATCGATCGAAGATAGGCGGTCAGGTCAGTCATGAGTGGCCAGAAGAGATAGAATGGGCACAGAAGGCAAAGAATCTCGGCTTGCGGAATTTTCTCATGCCAACTTTAACCACTTAAAATGCGAATCATTTGAAAAGCACTTTGAAATTAGCTACAGTACAGTAACTGTTCTCGAAGGCGAATTCTAGTCTTCATCAACAACCTGAGTGTATCAAGTTCGTTTCTGGAAACAGTGGCTTTGCAACTAGGAGAGAAACTAAGATTTCCTGGAGAATTATTGGTTATAAGTGCATGAGAGTTCAGGGTTGGATCAGTCCGTACCGGAGATTAGCCGACCAAGTCGAGAAGCGTTCGATATTTCTTACCCCAGCATGAGAACTATTCTGTGGGCGGTAGATCCCGTATTTATCCATTGCAGCCAGTCATTCTACTTGCGTCGATGCAATGATTCTTGTGAATTGTGAGGGCACCAAGGTTTGTAAGCCTCCTCCTGCAACTAGCTCAACACTTCATCATTAATCCAACGCACTACTCTGAGGTTTTGTATTTTTTGCCTTGGAAATTAAGTTTATAAAGAGCTTTCTTTCACTGTTGGCACCATTTCAGCAGTCGTGGTGATACCACAAAATGGCATCCAAGGCCAGTTACAATTTACAATATTCATCAACATCAGTCTGTGCGTTATTTTTCTTCCACTGAAATTATGTCCCATCTCTAGATTTTACAAACATCGAGTCATAGATACGCCTCTGGTTACGTGTTAGTCGAGTCGCGAGATTTTTGTCGTATTAAAGTGCATTTTGCCTAAGCAAATTATACACGTCTGTAGGCAAATACAAATTACGTGCGCCTTGGCCTTGCTCTGTAAGAGCCCTATATCAACACAGGGTCCTTCCCCCCCCTCCCTCCTCCCTTGCTCTTACTGGCGCTTCTTTTCTTACAGTATTGTCTAGTGCTCGCAGGGCAAATCCAAAATTTTATATATTCGATTTATCAAGCAGGCTATCGGCTGCCATCGTGTTGGCGGCGACACTTAGTCTCCGTACTTGTTGTGAATGAGCGTCTTGTAAGCAATAAGTTTGTCTGTCTCGTAAAATATTTCAATCGAGACTTACATCCTGAAAGCAAAGCATAACACCCTGCAAGCACTATTGATCGCAGCCCAGATCACGTGCCTGATTATATATATATGTGTGTGTGTGCTGTACCACTCATGCCTTCATTCCCGTACGATCGCGCTGTGAGTTCTGCAACTTTTGACTTGAGGTATCAGTTTGTCTTCCAGGTGGCGGAAACTGAAGTCGCTTGTAGGTGGCTCATCTGTTTGGAAATCGTTTACTTCCTTTTCTGCGTGGTGCTCCAACCAGATCATCTTTTAAATGTACGCCAAGTCGATTACTAGCCAGTCAAATATTTTGACTTTGTTGTATATCAAGTTAGTCGTTCCCCAGCAACTTATTGGGGCTTAGCATATGGTGGGTCCGGTGCTTGGCGGTTGGTGCAATTGATCATATCTGGTAGTAGTAATTGGCCAATCATATATCTGCCACTGAGTGGAGAAATCTTTACTACCTCGGTAGGTAGTACTACTATTTGGGTCGAACTCTTCTGTAAACTTGGCATAGGCAATGGAATATCAGAGCACTCCGTTATGACGTCATCCTTTGCCTACTTACGCTACTCTGGCCCTCTCTTAAACTTTCAAGGCTTATGTTCTAGTGAGTAGATTCATTACCCCAAGAATATGACGCATCCAACGCAGATAGCTAGCTCATAAGCCACTATGGTTGAGTTTTTTGTGAACCTTCATCAAGCTTATATACGCTCGGCTGAGAATAACATTTCTTTTCATTGTCCTAGCGCACAACTGATCTCGATCGCCTATTAGTACTGCGATCAGAGTAATAATATGTATGGAATTCATACGACAAAAATATCGCATACTAAAAACGTCACGATACGACTGTTATGTAGAGTGTGAATTTTCGGCAATTAATTATCATTCCCTTACTGCTGATCGGCAGGTTGCTCTCACGCTCGGCGTTCTCTGCATTTTCCGTAGACGAGCCACAGATCTATCATAAAATTTGATTTTCGTAGTAAACTTTTTCCGAGCGGTAGCAAAAATTCAGCTATCCCCTTCAAACATTAAGGATGTTTGCCTCTACACCCACTATGAGTGCCCAAAGCCAAGTCCTCTTTTTCCTTCATCTTTACGACTGGAGCCCACTTTCCTTGAGCTCTGTCTCTGAAGTATGTTAATTAAGCCCCCATCTACGTTTATGTACCGTGTGAGCTAATCTCCCCTCTTGAACCTTCAGCGAAGCGAATGAACTTAGCCAGCAAGCATGTCGAGCCAGGGCCCACAGGATTGTAGGTCTGCTCAACATTTTGCCCTCATCTATATTGATCAATATGGGAAAATTCACCATGAGGTCTCCCCTTCAATCGCCCAGCATCGCGACACTATCCTCAGCCCTCAAGTCACTACGGAATTCCTAAAAGCGGTGGCGAAGTCCACTCAAGTTGGGCTGCAAAATCCTTCCTTGGAATTAACTTCCACCCAGCTAGTTCCTGGTCACCTCGTGAGCTATGGCTCTGACGATTCGTGCTTACCAAAGAACATAAACGCCAAAGGACATATAGCGCTCACAACGAATGGATGCTGTTACAAGCCTACGCTATGGCCAGGACATGGAAAAGCTGGCTCGGCCATCTTGAAAGATGAACTGTTTCACATGAAAAGCCCTTGTATACAGAAGGAAAGACTGAAGCTTCATGAAGCCGTTTTATCTATTAAAGATACAAACTTCCTTCGTCTATACTACGAAAAGGTTTTCCAGAATATACAACAAACCAATTGCCGAGTCCTGGCAAAAGCCTATGTGAAACTTGTTGAACCCCAGAAGCAAGTTAACCACCCTTACAATGGACGGAAGGTAGTGGCGGGGGAAGTACAGCAATTATGTCCCGAGGAGTGTAAGCCTGCATGGTGGCCCCCTGAAGTGCGCCATCGGGAGCCCGACCATCTACTCAAAGCAGGTAATAAGACACCTTTCTGCGCATGGTATGCACTAAACTCATCATCACTAGAACGCATCGCGCTTCTTCTCCATATTCTTTGTGATTTGCGCTGCAGCCACGGAATTACTTCACAAAAATTGAAGAATGCAGAGCAATCTGTCCGGTCGCAGATTATGCCGGTCGAACGATTAGAACTTCTTGATGAGTTGTATCGTGTTAGAGGAGAAGAGGAAAGGTTTTTGGAGGGCTTTCTTGGTAGGGATTTGAAACCGCTCATCATCCACAATCTAACGCAGTATATCTAGAAAAAGACACAAATGTTCTTGTTTCGCGGATCAATTTACCTGTTTCCGATGAAATTTCCAGCAAAAAGCGCCAATCAAATAGACAGGCCTCTTTGAAATATAAACAGGAGCTAGCAATACACAAATCATCTCGCAATCGAGTTGTGTACAATATGCCTGTGTACCCGCAGCAAAGCTTCGCAGAATACAACGCTGACCAGAATTCTACGATAAGTACTTTGGCAGCCCCTGCAACGTCGTCCGCTTCTCTTGAAAACAACTGCTCGGCGATTGAGGCATATCCTCCAGCAGCCATTGTCAACCCCACGGAGTTATTATCCTCTGATTATGCCAACAGCCCTTCTTGGATTATGAACTTTCCAGTAATGGAGTATTATGTGGCACTTTAACGACAAAATATTCCCAGATTGGTTCATTTTGAACTGGCAGTATTTGCAAATCGCATCTAAATTTACGAAATTGGAAGGTACATATCGATATTTACTTTACTCTGCTTGATACTTGCCTGTTATATATATACTGTTGTCACCAAATAACATCAAGGGGGCTCCTTTCTCCTGCAATCGATTCTGGAGGGCACGCCCGGAACAAAAGGCATGGGCTTTTCACTTGAAATACATCCGGTGATATCTTATTTCGTTAATGTCCGATACAGTTAGTCGACTAGAAAGAGGTCTGGGAGTGTGGTCTCTAAATATGAGAATATCACAACTTACCCTTTTCATGTTTATCTTCCAGGTCACAAGCCATAACAGCTAACGGAAAAGCCAATTTCAACCTCATCAGATTGTGGAGATCCCCGGTCAAGAAAACTGCTGCCCCAGCCCCGTAATGGACCAATTATGCATTTGTAATTGAGCTAAATGTGGCGTAATTACCAACTGTGGCTACTAAAACTCTAATCTACTTTGATCACTGTACCTATAAGATACGACACTACAGCCGATATATGTATAATGGTAGTCTCCGATATATGAGGTAGGCAATGAAGAATCCTGCGGTACGGTTGGTAGAGATCTAGGGTCGCAATATGGCATGGTGTTTGCCTGTCTTTGATGAGGTGTTCGTTGCGTGGAGTAACGGGCTCATCACTGGTGAATGAAATGAAATGATATGACCTCGTCGCCTGACCCGTCGCATTAAAGGGCGGACTCATAGTGGTGAATATTAATAACCGTCGTCGGTTCTTTTCTGAGGCATCCTCACTGTTGAAACCATGCCAACAGCCAGAAAATATTTTTCATGTTCTTGATCACCAAGAACAAAACGCAATGTCTCTGAGAGCTGCTTTGAACCAGTGATGAAATGTTGAGCCAGTTATCATTGAAGAGTACTTTGAGCCTGAGCCCTCACAACTCACAATGATGATCTCATCGATGCAGACCGAATGCCTGACTAAATTGCTATAAATACCCGGTCCCTCGCCAGCAGAACAGTCGTTCGCAAGCATTCCTTTGTGATTCTGGGTGAAAGAATATCGGACGTGTTTCGTCTCCGCGACTACTCTTTGGTATCGATTGACCTCCAAATCATGCAATGAATTGAACTAATCTGTTTTACCTCAGTAGTCTAACCCTTTCATGATAGTCAAGTCTTCGAACAGTGAGTGTAGCTACCCAGTCATTTGAAATTATGCTAACGCGGAAGATTCTCAATATTAGCCTCGCCTCCGCTATTCCGCTAAGCGCCCATTGAAGAACCTTTCTGGATGCTGAATGGTCCAAGCTGCGAGCACAATGAGTTACAAGTTGCCTTCATGAACTGCCTACTGATGATTGATGATAATTAGGTGCCATCCTTTATACAGTCCCCTGCAGTGGACAGCAAGAAACGGCAATGTAAGTTCAAAAACTACGGCAAAATTAAGAGCAAATACCATGTGCTGACGACCCTTGTATAGGATGGCGAACTTTCCATCGCGAGTCGCTCAATGTCTTGTAAGTCACCCTACTGCGTTGTCCCTGCCCATTTCCAACCCCGGTTACTGCATTTTAATCTCCGTACGAATTCTATCCGTTCGTGGCTCTCTGTTCTTCAGAAAATATTGCTGATGATTCTTTTCCATCATAGGGCGAGCTTCGATTTTACATTCGACCTGACCGAGCTATGTTCCCCCATCGTCCTCGAAAATAAACCAGCTGCAACATCCTGATGGGCCAAGCCACTGAATCTCACTTCGCTTGCGCATTTGTTGTTTCTGAAGACGTGGTTGAAATGGCCACTTCACCTGGCTTATTAGCGGGCCCAATTCAGGAAGGCATGTTACCCTCTGATTAACCATATGGTAAAATTCCAGAGTGTTTTCATTTCGTCTCTTCGGCATCACCTATCCGGACAAAGGTTGACAGTCAATAGATCAGTAACTCGCTATATTCTAATGGCTATGAACCTCCTTCCCCACGTCCGATCCAGAGGCTTGTCGGTAGCCATGAGCCGGTCTCGCTGTTGACCGAGCGAGCCGTCAGAGCATCCGCGACAACGAAGAGAAGCCAAGAATCAACGGCCACAGAAAAGACAACTATTTTTCCGAAGGGCATCAATCAGAAGATTGAAACGAGCTATTGGCGAAAGTCTGAAGGCCAGTTATTTCAACCCTGATGTCAGCTGAGCAAGCGATAAGACAGGTTGTGGCTTAGATCTATCATAGATCCCTCGCCGCGAGAGCAGTCATTTTCAGGTCAGGTCGAAGTTTTTCGCAAAAAAAATACCATGAATCTCTTGTCCAGTGGTACTTTGTCCTGACATGATTGCAGATTTGCCCAGAGCCGTGCATGGGCAGGTATGGCTACATCCATTCCACGTGGTATAAAGTGGTCCCAAGCCCTCCACGTGTGATCAAGCTGAGCCCGCTACCTAGTCCGTGGTTTGCATATACTGATTACGGCAGGTCTATACCACCTTCGGTCACCAGAATCCATGTTAACATAGAGGAGCAGTGAAAGACAGCCCTAGTTCAGCCGTTCTGACGAGTCCGATCGACAAAGTTCATTATAGCTGGTTGGGGACCTCATCTAGGCCGCGAGCAAGGTAAGTTGCGAAAGACTATCTTGCACCAGCTGCTGATAGTTGGTGCTAGATTAGGTATATCCAGCGGCAAATTGCTTTAACCCTGACCCAATGCAGGCAGCGATTCAAAGCTGCCACCATGGCCTACTTCATAAACGAAGCTGGCAAGTACGCTCTCGTCATCAGCGAAGAATTTGGGCAGCCAACCGACCATATGGCCAAATCGCTGATATGAAGATGGCTATTTTCTCCCAATGTGGCCGCGGGCCAATCGAATGCTCCCTCCTCGATGTCATGACCGAACGCCATGAACTCATCAGCAGAAGCAGCCTCGTATAGTATGGCCAGTCGATCGCCGCAACGGTTACAACTGTTCAATTATGACTCAAAAGGTGCCAGGTTGGTTTGTGATAACTCGTGGATAAGACGCATTTGTTGACTTCAAAGGTAGCCGTCATGTTTCTATCAGTGTGGGTGGGCATGTCACATGTACCCGAAGCGATACGCTGCGACATGGCAGTGCTCTGCCTCGTCGCCTGGGGTCGGCATGCTCAAGTGACTATGAAAAGTGGTTTCATTGTAATAACGAAGTGGCCGAGAGGCAAAAATCAACCGTAGAAAATGCGAAATGACAGGGAAAAACCAAGCGGGCTTTGATCTGTCTTTCTGATGAAAGGTCATCTGGATGTATCCTGCAGGAATCGAACCCGAGCCGTTATTTGAAAGCCAATGCAGGAAATTCCATTAGACCACGAAAGGAGAGGTGCTGACGCGTGAATTTTGCTTGATTATAGCCACCATTTTCCAAATAATCATACGCGCCGTTCTTCCGAGCACACATCCAGCAAGATCAGTGTTTTGAGCTGCACACTTGACTTTCATTTGATGAGGCCGACACAAAATGATATTTGAAATATGTTTGGAAGAATTAGGCTTTCTATCGCTGGTGCCCTACTGGCTCGTTGCAGCTTTGTTGCTAGTAATATATACGTTAGCGCTGGCCTGGGGATATATATATTATCGGTTTCAACTCAGCATGCGGCGGCACTACCTCAAATACCGAATACCGCCAAAGAGCACGCGACGAAGCTCGAGCCGAGAGAATGTCATACAGAAGAGCGACCGGAGTATATACTACCATATCGACTCTAATATGTAGAAATCATCATTGCGCACTGTTTATCAACTTTTGCATTCGTGAGGGAACAAAGATCCCCACTATGACGGGGATGGGTGTTTACCGTTGGCCGCCACTTCACCGCCCGGGAGTCACCCGCACTGCACATCATGTTGATTCACGATTCACTGGTCCAGTCCCCATCACCATTATCACCAACTCTCAACCGTCACTCACCTCCAGCCCTCACCATCAATATGCCCTCACCATCAACAAATCAACACCATCGACACAACCACACACCACCCACCCACCGTCGAAAATCCGTATCTCCCTTCATTCGGACGAATTCTGCTGCCACTCCAGCCAGCAGGGACAAATACTCAAACCAATAGAGACCACTTGAATTTCAGCCGCCACCCCGACTGGCCACCCCGCTATCAGCCATGACTCGACGCTCTAATTCACACTAAGTGGTGGAGAATGTCCATTCTTGAAGCTCAGGGCATGATTGAGCGCTACAAAGTGCATTTTTCGAACCAGCCATGTACGGCGGCATCTACATACAATACTGAAGTCATTTTACACCATGTCTTGTTGGATTCTTGATTCTATCGATTCTTTGGAGCAGGTCTTGGCTTCTTCGAGGACTCCCCCCGAATACTAGTCTCTGACACCACGAAGAGGTGCCTGCAATCGCCAGAGGATCAGGACGAGGACCGCGGCGCCACGGGTCGCCTAACAAGCACAAATTTGCTAACGCAGGGCTCAATGCTGCATGGAAGCTCAAGATTATACGATCACAGGGCTCAGGGCTGTGAGGGAGAACTTGGTGTCGCAGCGGTCTCCTGCGGAAGTTTTTGGTAACGCAGGTGTC